CAGAAAGCCTGCTGTTTTGATCTGTGTAGTATGCACCAATTCATTACTTAGTGGGCAAATTGGATAACTGTCCAAATACATTGAAATCAACAGTGTTGAATCCATGTTTACCATGGGAGGTAGTTCTCAGCTGGTGGGATTGCCAGCAGTAAACCAGGCTTTCAGTGGGTGAGACTGAGAGAGACATGATTTGGACACATAGGCATTGCATTTTAGTTTGCTCAAAAGTCCACCTGCTGATATTTGGCCTTTTTATACTCGCGTATTACATTTTTTGTGTGTGTTCAATGTAGCAAACAGAGCAGATGCAGCCATCAAAGGGGTTTGATAAAGAAAGAGTTCTAGTTTGTGGCTTTTGATTGAAGCTACCTTTCTACCCACCTGAATTCCCACCTGAATTCATTTAATTTGTCAATTTTGTTGTATTGTGACTATAAGAACAATAGAAATAGCTCCTGTTGTTTTAATATTGTGTTGTTAATATTGTGAAGATAATATTGCTAAAATCCTCTGTCCTGTAGGATGAGAAGGTCAAGCACACTTTTCTAAGCTTACATCTTTCACTTTCACGAGTGAACTGTAAAATATAAAGAGCATTTTGCTTTAAAACAGCAAAAGTGTCATGTGCCACCTTTTGTTTTTGCTGCAGCAGGCTGATTCGCTGGAATTTTTTGTGATGAAAGTCTGGTTTCAAAATCTACAGCTCAAGGGGAAAGTAGCATTGTATCTCTGAATAGCATCAACAAAGATTCTGGTTGCTATCAAATGCAAAACCTAGTAGGCCGCCTTTTTCAGCATCTGGATCCAGAACTAGAAACCAGCTGGATACATGTCTTAGATACTTGACTGCTTTGTACCTCATCGGAGTTGAAGGTGTTGCATTTGTTTTAAAAAATGGGGGGAGGGGGTGTAAAATCAATAGACACAAGTGGGAAATAAAGGTGGAATCGGTAAGGATAAGAACACTATGAAAATAATTTTTGATATGTATTCAGAAATGGTGATGGATTGTGATATTATTCCACCTGTGCCGACAATAAAAACATATATTAAAAAAGTAATATGTTTTACATACAGGGTAGCAGTTAAAGAATGCAGTTGCAAACTACAGTGGGTCCTAGGTATCTGCTGGAGTTTGGTTCCATGTAGAGACCAATATCCATTGATACTCAAGTCCCATTGATACTCATGCAGTGGTGTAAATTGGTCAGACCACACCTGGAATACTGTATCCAATTCTGGGCACCACAATTGAAGGGAGATGTTGACAAGCTGGTATGTGTTCCAGAGGAGAGTGACTAAAATGATCAAAGGTCTGGAGAACAAGACCTGTGAGGAGCGCCTTAAAGAACTGGGCATGTTTAGCCTGCAGAAGAGAAGGCTGAGAGGAGACATGATGAGGGCCATGTATAAATATGTGAGGGGAAGCAATAGGGAGGAGGGAGCAAGCTTCTTTTCTGCTGCCCTGGAGACTAAAATGCGGAAAAATGGCTTCAACCTACAGGAAAGGAGATGGCACCTGAACATTAGGAAGAACTTCCTAAATGTGAGAGCTGTTCAGCAGTGGAACTCTATGCCCTTGGGTGTGGTGGGAGCTCCTTCTTTGGAGGCTGTTAAACAGAAGCTGGATGGCTTTCTGTTGGGGTTCTTTGAATGTGATTTTCCTGCTTCTTGGCAGAAAGGGGTTGGACTGCATGGCCCATGAGGTCTCTTCCAACTTTATGATTTTCTGATTCTAAGGTTTACTTTGTAGATTTCTGCCCCCCTCTTCTTAGGACTGTTTTCAAGACATCAATGGTTGAATGTGTGGATGCAGGATCCATGGATATGGAAGATTGACTGTACTGATTAGGTTATTTATTATGTTTAACTTCTGTCTTTTCCCGAGTGAACTTTAAGTTGTGTGTATGCCTCCTCTCTTCACTACTTCATCCTCACAACAACCTTATCAAGTAGTTAAGGCTGAGTGAGTATGTCTTCTACTTTTCTTTTTAACCAGAAAGGCTCTTCAAGTTATTTTTAAAAATCAGTCCTTTCAGTGGAATGGGAACTCTTGGTCTTCATTATCCACCAGAGGACCTTTGGGGGCACTGCAAATCCACCTACTCCCCATTCTTTGTTCCTCAGGTTTATAATGTACAAGAGTAGAGGAATGGGTTTAAGGAAGGAAGAAATTGTGATAATCGTGACCTCTGAGGAAGCTTGCCATAGATGCAGGCGAAACGTCAGGAGAAATGCCTCTAGAACATGGCCACATAGCCCGAAAAAACCCCACAAGAACTGTGTGATAATCGTGTTTATTCTTCCATCCTTTCAGGGCAAGAAAGTTTTTTAGCAAGACTTCCAATAGCAGTAATGGAGTAGAATGGCCACCAATGACAAGTGGGTAGTGGCAGCCAGACCCACACTTCAATCTTGTAGGTAGCTTCTAATATTAGTAAAATATTTTTTTCAAAACCCTAGGAACATTACTATTAGGATTGTTCTACCACATTAGCTTCTACTGTTATTTCACAGTTTACTTGGAAATTGCCTACATTTGTTTCTTGTCAGATTTTTTTCAGCAGGAACAACATCTCTCTCTCTCTCTCCCTCTGAAACTAGCTTATGCAGTGAGTTCACACTGTCAAATTCTGTCTTGTTTGATTGGTATTTTATGCCTCTGCATCTATCTTTTGTGTTCTTTATAATAGCCTCCAGTATGTGCCCTATGGATCCAGGAATGGGCTTGGAGTTAGGGCTCAGTTATTATTAAGTGGCATGGGCTCTGTTTGGAAAGCTGATAATTAGCAAGCAGTTCATTTGTATGCAGGTTTCTCCAGGAAACAGTGTCTGCGTAAATTCTCAGAATTTTATTTCATGGGTATATGGATGACCTACCCTGCACTTGCAGAGTGTTTTGCTGTATATCAAAACACTGTACATCTGTCTGGGGGCTTCCTGTTCCAAAGCCTCCTAGCAACCAGTCAGTAATTGCAGCCCTGTCAGGTTTAATGGCAGAACATAGAGTCATGGGGCAGAGATTGGTAGGTATGCACACAGGAGGGCTGTGAACTTGCTTTCCTCAGATTTTATTTTCCGTGTATTGCTCAACAACACTTCAGTACCGACATTTCACAAAAAAAAATCACTTAAACTTCTTAGATAATCATTTCACTGAAGGGTGCAACCAGTGGAACAGGTTATTGGCAGAATGTATTGTTTGTAGACCCTGAAATGCTTGACTGTGGCCCTCAAGTAGCATCGGGGACCTTTGGTATGCATATCTCAATGACGTGATAACATCCTGTTGTTATAATCAGAAAAGAACATAGGTACTATGTATATACTATTGTTTTAGTGTTGGCTTCTTTGGGTCTCTTTTTGGAGAGATGAGGGGGATAGAAATCAACAGCATCATCTGGGGTGGGCCACTCCCATCAGCAGAGTTAGCAGAGCCAATAGTGAAGAATTCTGAAAGTTGTAGTGCAACAATATCCAGAGGTCAGCAGAGTTCAGTTATGAGTTCAGAAATGGTCAGTTAAACTAGACCATTTCCCTAAGTATTGGCTATGGTTGCCTCCTATTCGCTGTGGTTGCACAATCATGATTGCTATCTAGACAGTATTTTTGTGCATTGCATGGGGATATGGGTTCCAAAGCAAGCCTCCCCCCCCCCCCCCCCCCGTTGTAATGAAATATTAATGTACCTCAAAGTGATCCTTTCTAATGATCAAGTTCTCCAAACTATCCAGAAAACAAACTGAACGTATGTGGAAGTACATTGATCATTAGGAAAGTCTTGAAAATGGGCATTTCAACAACCATTACAAAAATATTAGGCATGAGTCACCAATATTCCAGTGTGTCATAGTTATGATCTTGACACCAATGTAACATTCTAACCTGGGCTTAGTATGTTGAGGCCCACACAGTAGCACTGCAGCCAGAAAGAATCACCTAGATACCTTTTTAATTTATTAGTTTTTAATGTATTAGGAAATCATAGACCAGAAAGGGAGCATAAGAGCCCTGTAGTTCAATCCCCACTTCAAGATTTCCAATGAAGGAGGCTCCAACACTCTTTTTTTTCATGTAATTCGAATCCATTGGTTCATGTCCTAGTATCTGGTAGTAGCAGAAAACTAGCTTGCTCCATCCTCTATGATAGCTCTTCAAATGTTTAAAAATGACTATAATATTATTTCTTAGTGTTCTCCCTATGCAGGCCAGAGGTACCTTTATATAAAATGCTACACCTCTATTTGCTGTGCATTGCATATACTTATATTTCTATGGCTCAGTACCATCAGTAAATGATATCATGTTTTAGACAACTGATGCTATCCTTTGTTTGTCCTTTATGAGCTGCAGTTAGGAACCAAGAAAAATGGCAGTAGGTAATTCAAATGGTACACACCTGTCCGTTGCAACATCACTATGCATGCTGGTGTGTAACAAATAAAAGCCACCTTCTCAGTTAAACTATATCCAGTTTTCCTCCAAGTTCCTAAATTATTTACAGTACTACACCAAACATATATTAATGGTCTAAAGTGTTCCGGATAGCATAGATTAATAATTAAATAAGTTATAGCCTGTCCCTGTGCATGTTTATTCAGAATCCTGCACTGACATTAGAGGGGTTTCACTCTGTGTCCAGTGAAATGCACTTCATTGGACTCCTCGGCAAGGGAGAGGAGATGCAGCTCAGAGGCCTAAAATGGCTTGCAAGGGTTTCCCCATCTGGCTCACAGAGCTGCTCTGTTCTCTGATAATGGGAGACCAAAGTCAAGAGGCTTGTTAAAATCCAAGAACATTTTGCATGGGTGTGAATTTTGGTTTACAGCCCTGGAAGGTTTTGTTTTGCAAGTTATGACTATAGAATATGGTTTGTAGATTATTGATTAAATAATGAAATTGCTTTTTGTTAATGTCTCTTACAACCTCTGCTTATCTGAAATGCTGCCAGTCTATACCGTCATCTGGACTTTTGCAATATGTTGTTCTTTTCTCATCAGATATAGCACAAGGACAACTGAACCTGGGTCATCTGAACAAGGATATCAAGACACAGCCTAGCTCTTTTTCACCTGTGGAAGGCCAGTCCCAAATGGAAGTGCATTACCGAAATGGCAACCAACGGCGGTTTTCTATGGAGGTAATGTGCAGCTATAAAGTGAAAGGGATTTGTGTTCAATGTTGGATGGTACAAGTTGAATATCTGTTATTTGAAATGCCTGACACCAGAAACATTTTGAATTTCAGATTGTGAGTGGGGGGGGGGGGGGGAGAGATCTACATTTGCATATACAGGCAGTCTCCAAGTTATGTTCTGTAGGTTTGTTCTTAGCTTTTATGGTATAGGGAAGGGTTAATACCCCTGTGGTGTTTGCTGTCTGTGCCATTTTTCAGAAGATTTCAGAATTATCTGTCCCTGTGATAATTGGATTTGAAAAAAGAATTGGTGAGAAAGCTTCAGTGGAGACACATTTTCCCCATGATAACTCTTCCAGGATTGTGTTTCCCTTCCTAGGGGTAGACGTTTTTACTTCCTGTTGTCTCAGTTCCGTTCTTAACTATGACTCATTGTAAGTCAAATGTTTGTAACTCAAGGACTGCCTGTATTTACATGAGATGTTTTAGAAATGTGCCGCAAATCAGAATACAAAATTCATTTTGTTCTCTGCATACCTTATATACATACTGTACAATATTTTAAAATAATTTTTAAGTGGAACAAAGTTTGAGTGCATTGAACTATCAGAAAGATATGGTGTCGCTATCTCAGCTACCCATGTGAACAATTTTGGAATATTTAGGATTTCAGGATTCCAGATCAGGGATGCTAAGCTTGTATAATCAAGAATAGAGCCCAGCTGTGGCTCCCTATACTGCCCTTTTTCTTACCCCAAAAGGATGAATTACCTCTCTTGAAAGTCTCCAGAAACAGAAATTGATGTACTGTTGTAGGGTCCACTGTTAATATTAAAATGTTAACAGTGAAGGGTTCTGCTTTTGAGCCCTGCCCCCCCACCCCACCCCACCCCACCCCACATTTTGGCATTGGAGAAATCTATTTGGTCCCCAGATGGTCCCAGGAATGTAAAGTTGGCCACTAGAATTGCCAGAGTTCTCTACACCTGGTCTAATCTGTTTTATATAACCTGGAAGATTTCCCCTTTCAAGTATAAACATTAGGGCTGGGCAACCACGGAAAAATTTGTTTCTAAACTCGATTCGTTTTTTGGGGTTTTTTGCGTTTCGATATTTAAAAGAATTCCGAAATTTTTCTTTAAAAAAGTTCGATATTTACGAAATTTCGTAAAATTGAGAAACGAATACGAAACGAATATGAATCGATTCGTTAATGGCGGACGCGACCGCGCAATACGCTAAAAAACCTCCATATGGGACAGGGGGAACTTCTGAAGCTTCCCTCTCCCTCTGTTGTTGACTGTTGGTGTGATATTTATAATTTTTTTTCACTGATTAAACAAACAACAGCTATAAAACTTGCCCCAGACATGCGGAAATAATAACGAAACGATTTAGACACGATTTAGAAACGAATACGAAGCAATTACGAAACGAATTGGAAAATTCGTTTCGTTTTTTAGATGCTCCTGAATGGTTCGTTATCGCTTCGTAACCAAAAAAAAACCCCAATTTTTAACGAATTACGAAATTACGAAACGAAACCGCCCAGCCCTAATAAACATACATAGGCAATTTACGAATGAAGATTGACTAAAACAATCTATCTTTAAGTATTAATGTTCAATTAAACTCAGGAAAGAAATAGCTAAAATGTGGCATCTTATTGTGGGTCTTCACATGCCTCTTCCTTTTTTTTTTTAATCCCTGAAAAGATCTAGGAAAATGTCTATATTTTGGTGCTCTATCCTTGAACAGATTGATTGATTTAATTCTTCAAAATGTGAATGCTTCATTAAATAAAGAGTTTTTTCTTCTGATAAAAAGTGGTTTGGTATAATTGCATGAATGGCTGTTTCAAGGATATTTGTTATATGACCATAAGGAATTTGTAGTTACCCTAGTGACAGGTTGTGAAAGTAGAGGCGGGTGACCTTTTAAGATTGTGGACTTAGTTTTTGAACGCCATTTCCTTTTCTATTTTCAGACTTGTGGGCTAATTATAGACAACATAATGTCTTTAGAAATGTCATGTTCTCACATAGTGAGAGCTATTAACTGTTTTCTATACACTTTTGGACTAGGAGATAGAAAGACCAAAGGCATTGCCCCCAGACAAAGATGTACCCCAACACTACCCAAGAGGAAATTAAGTCATACCAAATGCTTGAATGCATTTGCCAGAACCAAAATTTGACTCTGTTTGGAATTGACCTGGATACTAATTTGCAAAATTATAAGAAAGAATTACAATCTTGCATTTGCCTTTGATTGTGTCTCTCCTTTGTTCAGAAAGATCTCACCATTCAGTGTAAAATTCTTCAACAGTCCAACAAAATTAAGAGGTTAAAAATGATGCGGAGGTCATTTGGGCTGAGTGAAAGGGAAAGGGAAATATAAGGAACTGAACCAAAAATTCATCAGAATCAAACAAATAATATAAATCAATGAGTAGAGTCATAATTGTTCCAGAGGGAGGAAGAAAGGGAGGGGGGAAATTGATAGGTATAAGTAATTTTATATATTTATATATTTGTATCCCACCCTTCTGACCCTGAAGGGAACTCAGGGTGGCTTACATGAGTGGCATTATTCCATGCCCAAACAACAATAACAATATAAAGCAATTAACAACAATTTAAAACAACATTAAAACAACATATGTAAACATTAGACAAGCATTGTGCATAGATCCAAAGCTAGATAATCATATTCATCAATCCAAAGCTAATTCCAGCTGTATTGCACAAATAATTATGCTGAACCAAATGCTTGCTCCCAAAGCTAAGTTTTCACTTGTTTATGAAATGACAGGAGGGAAGAGGCGATCTAATTCCACTAGAGAGGGAGTTCCACAGCTGAGGGGCCACCACTGAGAAGGCCAGCTCTGACCCTCATCAGTAGTGCCTGCGATGGTGGTGGGACTGAGAGTAGGGCCTCCCCAGAAGATCTTAAGCTCCATGATGGTTCAAAGAGGGAGATGTGTTCGAACAGGTAATAGATTTATAGAACTGTAAAGGATAAAATGTAATCAATAGAATGTGTTATAAGAGGTAAATAATAATAATATATCATTGCGTATATGCAATTGTGACAATATTACAAATTACTGACATCTAACCAAATTTTAAAAAAATGTTGTTTGGGTTGTAACTTCTGAATGCCTCTAGTTAACATTTTGGAAGTTTAAGAGTAAGCTGTCTAGATGCAAAAGAGGACAGAACTCGTACTCCTTTAATTAAATGGATAGGGGCGGAAAGGGGGGGGGGATTCCAGATGGTGTATTTCATGTTAAAATTATTCCTGTTTTGTGGAATTCTTTCAGGTACAGTAGACCTGTTGTCTTTTGCATCTGGTCATTGTGTTTAAAAAGTGACCCTCTGCTGCTCTTCTCCACAGGATGTCAGCAAGCGCCTCTCTCTGTCCATGGATATTCGCCTTCCCCCAGAGTTCCTCCAGAAGCTGGAGAGGGAAAGTCCAGAGATGTCTAAGCCTCTAACCAGAATGTCTCGGCGGGCATCACTTGTGAGTACTATTCTTTGACAAAAGCCAAGAAAATACAACTCCGTACAACTCATTGTATTATTGCATGAGAATTGCCATGTTCAAGTGACCTAAACCTGGAGAGAAAAACTACACAGATACACTTCTCTGGAAGTGTCACCTGTTCAGTAATTCGAATTTATTTGATAACTATAATGTTCAGAAAGTAGTGTTATTTTTTTTTCTAACATGAACTGATGGAAAAAAGAAAGAAACATTATAGCTAAGGGTTTCCCATTTACCTGTGCTAGTTTTTCCTGTATCTTGAATAAAATATATGCAGTTGAACCAACTGTCCAATAAATATTAATAAGCTCATAAATTAAAAATGTATGTCCTCTTTAAACACAAAAATGTAGCGCCGTTATCTTTGTTCAGTCACATTGAGCCCCCTTTGCTTTTTCCCTCTCCCCTTGTTATGTTTCCACAAAAAGTCTAATACATATAATGGGTTTTTCACAATTACAGTTACTTTCTTGTACAACGTTCCCACTGTTCAGCTATGCTTTTTCCATTCCATTATCTTCTCTCCTATAGTTCAATTTGTTACATGTTTGTATAGTCTTTGCATGTTTGGCCCTGTAGTTCCAGTGAAATATGTGATACCTGTAGGCTGCTAAACTGTAAGGTGTGTTTCAATTTAGCAGTCTCTATGAGCTGAGAGGCCAATAAACTTTGGCTGTGTCCTTGAAGGGGCTTGGGTACAACTCCTGTCTCAGCTGATGTCATAAAAAGAAAACAGTTGCTTTTTCTATGTTGAGATCATACAATATGTTGATGTATTGAACATGAAATTTCACTGCAGTCTTGAGTACATTCAGAAGTATGATAGGAGACCAAGTGAGCCTAGTAAACAATAACGTCACAGGTGCATACTTTTGAAACAGCAAGACTTACCTGCAGGCAAAAGAGCATGAGAAATGTCAAATTACATGTTAAGAACACACTTCAAATAACGTGCATTCTATTGATCATAATGTTTCTTTGGCAAAAGCAGATTTAAAAGGGGTGGTCCTAGTTTCATCTCTCTGCAGCTCCTGTCTGTAGAAGTCATAAAGTGAACACTGTGGGTAGCAGTTTGCTTAGATCCTTCCCCCCACCATTATACTATGAGTTGTGATGAGGGAAAACATCTGAAATCTTGAGCCTAAATGTAATTTAATTAATGTTTCACTTCTCTGTTGCTGGAGATTATTTATTTATTTATTTATTTACTGTATTTATATACTGCCTTTCTCACCCCTGGGGGGACTCAAAGCGGTTTACAACATACTAATGGCAAAAATTCAATGCCAACATACATTGAAGTACACAAAGAAATCATAATAACTAATTACTACATATAACTATAAATATAAGGAGCCCCCAGTGGCGCAGTAGTTTAAGCTATGAGCTGCTGAACTTGCTGACCAAAAGGTAGCAGGCTCGATTCCAGGGAGTGGCATGAGCTCCTGCAGTTAGTCCCAGCTTCTGCCAATCTAGTAGTTCAAAAACATGCAAATGTGAGTAGATCAATAGGTACTGCTCTGGCAGGAAGGTAACAGCGCTCCATGAAGTCATGCTGGCCACATGACCTTTGAGGTGTCTATGAACAACGCTGGCTCTTCAGCTTAGAAATGGAAATGAGCACAAACCCCCAGAGTCAGACATGACTGGACTTAATGTCAGCGGAAAACCTTTACCTTTACTACATATAACTTTGAACTTAAAATCAATTAAAATCATTAAACATAAGACATACATAAAATTTTAACATTCAGGCAAGCTTAAAATCATCCTAGTATAGGTATGTAGTATAGAGATTAGGGATGTAGTTATTCACTAATTTCATTCTCTAAGAAAGCAATGAGCACTCTATGCAGTTTTCCCCACTGTGAGAAAGAATTTGAAAATTGAGCAGTTTTTGGAGGCTATTTGCACTTTAGGACATATTCTTTGCACAGTTTTTGTGCACATGTATGTGTGTGTATTTACATAGAAAATACCACTTTCTAAAAAAGAGAGGAATGCTCTTTCCTGTAGAGAAAGTATTGTTTTTGTGCAAGAAATTTTGTGCAGAATAAGTCCCAAACTGCAAAGGTTTTCATCATTCCTGGCGTCTCCGTGTCAGGATTTCCTGACACTAAAAAAGCTTAGTTTTTTTTTATCATTGTTCGAATATATTTTTCATATTCTTTCCACCTTTAATTTAGACGCAGTGCCTTGATTTTATTGCATTTGTAGCTTGCTTTCCTCCCATATTGAACAAAAAGTGGCTTACACTGTATGTTAAAAAGTAGCAAAACCACTCTGTAATGCAAATTTATTTTAGAACAATGGAAACCACATTATAACTGATTGTATATGAAGAGCCAGTATACTTGTTTTGATACTTTCTTTGCCAGTCTGTTTCCTTCTGCACAAGTGAAAAATCATGTCCCAATTTTCTTCTCCTTCAGAGACTGCCAGCCAGAATCATTCTCTGGTGGCCTGAAAGTGACATGAATCCTGTTGTTTTTCTCTCAAGACATTTGTCTCTTTATCACCATCTAGCGTTAAATAATTGATATGCTTATAACACAATATATGACCTAAGCAACCTTAATACTTGCTCCTTGAAAGCCTCTTATCTCCATAAACGGATTAATTCTGTGATCCATTCATGTTTGCAAGTGCTATATGTGTTTGATGCTCATAGAGTAAAATGCACTTTGGGGAGAACATTTAAAAATGAATGGTTAAGTGCTAAGATATTAAATGGGAATAGAGTTCTTGAAGGCTAGAGATACCTATTTGTTCAGAGGTGTAACTACGTAGTACTGGAGGAAGTGGAGGATTACCTTCGTTATTTTGATCTTTGGGTCATCTGGGTCACCTGTCAGCCAAGATCCAAGATGTTATGGAAGCGCAGGGGAGAGCTTCAGAAGATTAAACTCCTGTTTGAAGTAAACAGTATGACAAGCAGATGGAGGAATGTTAGAAGTAAAAACAATCAAAAGTATGCTTTGCTACAATACATTCTGAGTGAAGAAATCTGTTTCCGTTAATGACCTTATCTGAGCTCTATGGAAAGAAAAAAAATTCTACAGGTTCTTCAAGGACAAACATGCTTTGATTCCCTGATGAATGTGGCATTTTTCCTTTTCAGAGTATATTTAGCAGTGAATTCAAAGGTTCCCGTTGCTTTTGTTTTTCACTACATTCATTAGAAGCAAGAGCCTTTTTATATAATGTGATTATTTATTTATTTATTTATTTATTTATTTATTTATTTAGAGCATTTGGATCCCGTCCCTTTGGGGGACTCAGGGCGGCTTACAATTGGCAGTCATTAGATTTATTTATTACTTATTTACCACACTTTTATCCTGCCCCTTTCAGCCCGAAGGCAACTCAGGGTGGCAACAATTAATGCTGAACACACATAAATACATCGTTTAAAACAGGTTAAATCACATAATAAAATTCATAGAAAAACAATTTAAAACTATAAAAAATCAATGACTTCCGGGTTTAAATCCATGTCCATTTGCATCATTAAGCCATTCCATATTCGTTCACAATACTGATTTTATCTGGTTACAATGAGGTTCCGAAAGCTTTCTTGAAGAGCCAGGTTTTTACTCTTTTCCTAAAGGTCAGGGGGGAGGGGGCAATCTAATATCCCCAGGAAAAGAGTTCCACAGCTGAGGGGCCACCACTGAGAAGGCCCTATCCCTTGTCCCCACCAAGCTCGCCTGTGAGGCAGGCAGGATCCAGAGCAGGGCCTCCTCAGATGATCTTAAATTCCTGGAAGGTTTATAAGGGGAGACATGTTCAGATAGGTAAGTTGGGCCAGAACCATTTAGGACTTTATAGGCTAAAGCCAGCACTTTGAATTGTGCCCGGTAGCAAACTGACAGCCAATGGAGCTGGTGTAACAGAGGAGTTGTATGCTCCCTGAGCACTGCTCTCGTTAGTAGCCTGGCTGCCACCTGCTGGACCATTTGAAGTTTCTGAACAGTTTTCAAAGGCAACCCCACGTACAACGCATTGCAGTAGTCTATATGGGATGTAACCAGAGCATGGACTGCCATGGCCAAGTTAGACAAAGAAACAGTCAGAGCACATCAGTTAACATAAACAGGTCAACAGCAATAAACAAAGACATTAAAAAGCAATTAAAATACATTAAAAATATTGGCCCTTAAAATATTAACACAACCAAGTCTGAGTCCACAAATCCAAATCATTGTCCAGAGTTCCAATCCAAGGTCTCTTAATTGACAATTCTCACAAGTCATTACAGTTGTTGCTCAACCAGCTAACCGAATACAATTTTATACACATCTTTCTAGAAGCAGAACCTAATGAATTCACTGGGACTTATTTTTAGATAGATATGCATTGGACTGCAAAGTTGATTTCTTAATGAAGACTGATTCCTCTTTGTTCTTCCTGACAGTCAGACATCGGGTTTGGGAAGATGGAGACCTATGTTAAGCTTGAGAAGCTGGGGGAGGTAAGAATAATGCAAACTCTATCATCTTACAAGCCTAATTTTTTAATTTAAATTTATTTATTTTTACTCTTTTTAATAAAATCTAATTGTCAGGGAGCCCTTTAGGGGATGTAGTGTTTGTTCCAAGACATTTATGGATTTTTAAAGCATTTATGACTTGGATTTAAGTAAGGTCTTTAGATTTATCCACATTTTCAATGGATCTTATTTATTTATTTATTTATTTATTTATTTAATACACTTGTATACCGCTAATATCTCAGCCTAAGTCGGCGACTCATTGCGGTTTACAACAATTAAAAACAATATACAATTTAAAACAACAACACATAGACAATACAAATTATTGGGCCACCAATAATAATACCATGTATCTCGTCACTAAAATCACAGTCCAGAACAGGATCTTAATACTGTTCAGTGTCCTGGTGGTATGCATCTTTAATAAATGCATCTCTGTACTAAGGAGGAGTTTTAAAAAATGATTTTATATCATTTCAGGCAAAGTATTCCATAAAATCATTTAACACCAGTATGATAGATACTCCATTTCCCCACAGCGTCTGCCACACAAATATTATTGGGTTACAATATGAGAATGCCTGCTATAGATGTGGGCAAAACATCAGGAGAGAATGTTTCTGGAACATGGCCATACAGCTTGGAAAACTCACTGCAACCCAGTGATTCCAGCCATGAAAGCATTTGACAATACAATAACCCAAATATTTTATCAAACCTAAAAAAGATGATTTCAAATATGTTTAAGTTCTGTGGATTTCATTTGAAATAGCGTAATTTTAAAATGATTGTGTAGGGGTTTAATTCACCAACAAATCCAGCAAAAATGGCATCTTTGAATGTACAGCCAGCCTGCCATAACCATGGATTCTGTATCCATGGATTCAACCATCCACAACTTGAAAATGTTTTTTAAAAAACCCAAAAGTAATCCCTAATTTTACCATGTTATTAGTTAGACACTATTTTACTAAGTCATGGTATATAATTGTACTTGAGCATCCATGGATTTTGGTATCCAAAGGCGATTCCAAGGACCCATTATATAATTAAAATTAATTAAAATCATGCATATAGATACCAAGGACCCATTATATGCATGATTTTAATTGCTGTTTTAATAAGTTATGTTTTATTGCTGTTATTAATTGTAATTGTTATTTTTGGGAATCTGTTGTTTGTGGGCATTAAATTGTTGCCAGTTGTTAATGGTTAGTTGTTGAATTGTTGCCAGCATAGGAGATATATATGTGCATATATATATATACACACACATATACTCCTAGTGGGTGGGATGTACTGTATTTGTGAGCTGCTTACTTGCCTTGCCTCCTTCACAGGGCACCTATGCCACTGTCTTTAAAGGGCGCAGTAAGCTCACCAAGAACCTGGTTGCTCTAAAAGAAATCCGGCTGGAGCATGAAGAAGGAGCCCCTTGCACAGCTATCCGAGAAGGTAAGCAACAGGAATTTAGCATATTTCCTCATACACACCTCAAGTATGGATAGTCTGTGGAAGCATCTGGCTGTTCCTTGGCTATTCCTATAGGCCTTTTAAAAAAATACTTTGCCTGAATCATGGTTTCTCATCTGAATTTTCCAGCTCATAGCACATATACCCTCAGAGTCAGGCAACTAATGCTTCTAATTTCATTGCCTTGACAGTTTCCTTACTGAAGAATCTGAAGCATGCAAATATTGTGACCCTCCATGACATCATCCACACAAAATGTGCCCTCACTCTTGTCTTTGAGTATCTGGTGAGTCTCCAGCCTTCCTTCTTACAGAGAAACTGATCGTCCCAGCAGTTCGGTGATTCATATATCAGTTGAAGTTAGTTTGAATTGAGATTTAAAGGTTTTCATCATGACTGCTGTTTGACAATCTCTATACAGTAAATATTGTTAATTTAAAATATTGCAAAAATTGTGTTGGCCCACAGTAGATGCTCGCCTAAGGTGACATGTACAATTTGGATCATGTTTACTAAGGAGTAAATTCCATTTCATTTGGTATGGTCTTCTGCTAGGTAATTTCACCTTAATAGCAACGAAAATGAGGTGTGTTTGGAAACCATCACGTTTTCCCAGCAGTAGTAAAATATGGTTTGATTGCTAGGGAGGTGTTACTTTTCTGCAATTGATCTCCTAGTTAAAAGACAGAAGTTTGATTCTGCAGCAGCTGTATCATCTTGTAGAAGAATCACCTCTTCCTCGGAACAACTTAATCATAACAGTGCATTCCTTAACATATTTGGAAAGAACTGATGAATGTGAATTCTATAGTAAATTGTATTGTAGAACTGAATAATGCATTTCATCATAAGTGGGGAAATATCATTTGACTTGCCTTTCCTTCTGGCAAGGTAACTTATGTCTCTCAGGACTTGCTTATGTTTGTAGGACAGTGACCTGAAGCAGTATCTGGATAGCTGTGGAAACCTGATGAGCATGCACAATGTGAAGGTGAGCAAATGGGTATGGATGAATGCAGAGATTGATTTCTTCCATTGGCCATATAAAATTGTTGTGCATGTTTGTGTTAGAAGGTCCCTTCTAGAGCATGAGGTGGAAATCATAGGGTCATCCAGAAGCTGTTAAATGCAGATCCCACAAACTATAGCCAGAGTGGCCAACAATCCTGGGCGAGCAACAACATATGGACAAAATTATTCCCACCCCTATTTTAGAAGTATCTATATTTTCTAAATTATTCTGACTTTAATCTTACTGCTGTCTCCTTCTCCTTCTTCCCCTGGTGGTCCAAGATCTTCATGTTCCAGCTGCTGCGTGGGTTGTCCTATTGCCACCAGCTTAAGATCCTACATAGGGATCTGAAGCCACAAAATCTGCTTATTAATGGAAAGGGAGAACTGAAGCTCGCTGACTTTGGTAAGTTAAGGAATAAGGCAGGCATAGCCCCAGCATGATTTTGGTTCAGAATATGAAGGGTGTACAGCAAGTTTCTTCCCTGTTCCAAAATAAAGGAATTGTTTCAAAATATATTGAGGGTTTCCCATCATTGTGCTGCCACTCCCCCCTCCCCCCCCCCAAAAAAAGCTTGTCCACCAGGTGTCCCCATTTTCAGCTAATTTTCTGTTAATTGGCATCTTCTGGTAATTTTCAGAACATAGATCTAACAAAACCAGTTTTAAAATCTTTAATACAAGTTGTTTGCCAAATTTCAACATTCCAGTGTTAGTTTCTTTTTTCCAGTCCTACAGGTGTTCTTGTGCACCTGCCCTATATGAGCATTGTTACAAAATACAATTGTTTGTGACAATTTGTGATAGCTAGATTTCTACTTTCCAGTTCTAAGAAAATATTTCTATAATTCCAGTAAATAATACTTTTATGCAGGCCTGAACAGCCTATGGCCTGTTCCTTGTGGCCTGCCAAAGGCAGGCAAAGGAAGGGGGGTGAGAAGGAGTGGCCGCATGCGTTTTTTTAATATTGGCCTTTTAAACCTGCCAAGATATACAGGCTTGCTTTTATGTCTTATACAAACAAATGGTCACAGCGTTAATTTTTCTGAGCTTTGATTTTTAAAATATAGATTGCATTGTATTATTCTCCTGACAGTATTATTTTCCTGCTAGACCAGATGTATTATTCTCTTGATGGAGTAAAGTAGTGTTGGACATAACTGTGATAAAACTGGCAGATCTGGATCTCACTGGGTTCACTTCTACCCATAGGTCTAGCCAGAGCCAAGTCTGTCCCTACAAAAACATATTCCAACGAAGTGGTCACATTGTGGTATCGACCTCCTGATGTTCTTCTAGGATCTACAGAGTACTCCACTCCCATTGACATGTGGTGAGTTGAGCACCTATGCTTAGATGGGTACAATGATTCACCATACTGGTTTTTCTAGTCATATTTGCTGCTTCCAGAGTCCAATCTGTAGAATCACAGAATCATAAAGTTGGAAGAGACCATAAGGGACATGCAGTCCAACCCCCTGCCAGACAGGAAAAACACAGTCAAAGCACCCCAACAGATGGCCATCCAGCCTCTATTTAAAAGTCCCCAAGGAAGGTGCCTCCACTACTCTCTGGAGCAATTAATTCCATTGTTGACCAGCTCTTATACTCAGGAAGTTCTTCCTAATGTTTAGGTGGATTCTCCTTTCCTGCATTCTGTATTTAGTCCTGGTGTAAAAATTGTGTAATTTATATAGCAGTAGATGCTGTAAATCAGAGTTGAGAAATATGTGCCATTAAAATTGTTGCTGGCCATGCTGGATGGACTGATGGAGACAATGTGTTCCCATCCTCTGCTATAACTAACAGAGAAGATTTAAAAAATTCTCATGGTTTGCTCCTCTATTTTCCTGGAGGCTCCCTCTTCTTCACTCTGCCGATATATTCTGTAGGGTAAAAGATGAGCACAGGAGGCCATTCTTATCTCTTGTGTTGTCTTCAGTTGTTGTGGGTCAGCAATGAAAAGCCAATGTAGCAATTTCACTTTCTCTGCAAAAGGTGAAACAACAGGAGAAAGGTTTAGTGAAATAAGGGGCCATCTAAGACCTGATTGCATCATGTGTTTTTGAATCCCATTGAGCTTCACAAATATTTATCTTTTTTAGGGGTGTGGGTTGCATACACTATGAAATGGTTACAGGGCGCCCCATGTTTCCAGGATCTACTGTGAAAGAGGAGCTACATTTAATATTCAGGATATTGGGTGAGTTTTCTCCATTCTCTGTTTCTTGATATGAGTTGAGAAAATAATAAATGAAAGATGCATAAAATTGCATTAATTATGCCAAATATGGAAACTAGTAGATTTCTTTGGCATGTAAGAAAACATTTTGTGTAGAGCCCTTCTCAAGAAACAACTCAGCATCAGGGCTGCTCAGACTGTGACTGCATTAAATGTGTGCACTTTTGCAATTAAATCTGTATCCAAGCTTTGAGGTCTTAAATAGATTAACTTTATTCTGCAAGGATTTTTGGTCTGTGAGAAGACATGGAAAGGAAGGAAGTTGTGGATGTGGTGAGAATATGGAGAATCAAATATAAGTAAAGTATATTAAGAGCAAGGATGTAAAGTTTTATGGCAAAGGTGAGAGGAACCTCTGATCCTCCAAAGTTTGATGAATGGCTAATCCCATCATATAGCATCTTTGGCCAGTCTGATGGCAATAGGAGTTCTACAAAATTTAGATGGGCACAGGTTCCTTAAACCAGATATATAGAGGAGGGGCAAGTGGAAAGCTTCATTACCTGAGCATGGTGAAGCTGGTCTGCCACAACAACCCATAATTGGTCCATGGTATCTCTCACTTAAGTCCTCTGATTTAGTTGGATTGGAGAAGTCCACAAGCAACTGCTGTTCAGGCTAGACATCACTTTCCCAATGAACCAAATTATATTGTAAAGCATCTTTATGTGTTCTAATACCCAAGTGTTTGCTTCCTCCATCTTTTAAATAGCCCTTTAGCTAGTATGCTTTCAAATATCCCTCAACAGTAAATGTGGAGCTTAAATAGGTATTTTTCCTGTCTTTGCTACAACAGGAACAGAAACTTAGTTCTGAATCCAATTTCTAACCCTAGCTTGAGTAGATCCTTTGAATCAGTACCTGAATTATAAATCAACAGCGCCATGAATTAAGTTAGCATACTCTAGTTGGACCTATTTGAATACGGTGATAGTGGTTCCTGATGGACAAGGAAATCCTATCTTTGCATGTTCCTAATTCTGATTTCCCCCAAAAAATGTCAGGATTGCCTATGCTTCCAGTAAACATCTTTTTGACTTGGCTGATATCTCCAACCCTTCCTTTTCCTCCTTCAGGCACCCCTACAGAAGAAACTTGGCCTGGCATCACATCTAATGAGGAATTCAAGACATATAATTTTACACATCACCGAGCCCAGCCATTGATAAATCATGTGCCAAGGTAATGTCCTACAAGGAAGAACAGATCTCCTTTATATTGGGTTTCTTCTGGAGAAGACTAGGAGGGAAAGTGATTCAATTCTAAAGTGCAAGAACAGGCAGATGGAATTAATGGTTGTGATCTTAGTATCTATGTTAATCAGCAGAATAGGAAATCAGCCATCAGCACATTTGTAGACTTCCAATCTGGACCATCCAACTATTTTACTTAGAGGCTGAAATAAAATAAAGTTGACAGTCTTTCTGGGACTACCACTAGGTGGTGGTAGTGCTCTGAGTCTTCTTCTGCCAGGGCAAAAACTACCTTGCAAAAACTGCCTTGTTGTGGTGTCACTATTCCAAGATTAGAACCTCAGTGGCCTACTGCAGATAAGTATTTTATAAATAATTAACATATATTTCTTCTGGTGGGGAGCTCAGTAGAGCTGAGATTATTATTATGTTTATTTATACCCCACTTTTTCCCTCCACAAGGAGACTCAAATGTCCAAATGTGCTGTTCCTAGTAATATAGGCTCCCTGCAGGCTCTCACAAATACCTAAAACCCATTTTTTCTTTTGCAGACTAGATACAGAAGGGATCGACCTATTGTCAAGTCTCCTCCTGGTATGTGTCACATAAGTATCCCTAGTTGCTTCCTATCCACTTAAGAGGATGGGCTTGGATGCCCAGCCATTCCGGGGCCAACTGGAAATATATTTGCAAAGAACTTGTATCCAAGGAGTTTCATCTAAGTGCTCCTTTAAGGATCACTTATATGGCTTTTCTGATTTTGATATTATTGTAGAACCCTCTCGGCGCCCTCTTCTTTTCCCAAGAACAGAAGAAGAACTGAGGCAATTCCAGGACCCTTTTATGACCCAGTTATAGTGCTATGATTCCACTTTAACTGCCATAGCAGCATCCATTATAAAGTCTAGAAAGGACTACGTAGATTTCATTTCTATAGAGCTCTCATTAAACTGCAAACCCAAGTATTTCATAGAGTGTTGCCAAACTGAAATCACAGGACCATTATCTAGTGAGAAAGGACCCCAGCAAACTGATGACCTTGAGAGGCCCATAAGGAATGAACATGGATGTAACAGCCTTCCAAGCATCTGTTATTCAGAGACATGCTGCTGGTGGTATTGAAGAGAATATATAGTCATCAAGACTTATAGCCATTAATGTATTGCTCAGGGGTAAACGTCAAAGAGCCAGCCTGATGTAGCGGTTTGAGCATTGGACTACAGTCCCAGAGACTAGGAGTCAAATCCCTACTCAGACATGAAAACCACAGGGTGACCTTGAGCAAATCATATTGTCTCAGCACTGATGGTAATTTTTACCCCAACAACTTCTGTGCCAAAAGGAAATGATTTTGAAATTATTTTTATGAAAAGTGTGAAATCTCACAGTATGGCTCTGTGAAACTCCATTAGCCATTGACCTAAGTACTTTGATATCACTATACAGTATCCTACAGGCTAAAACATTAGGTACAGATTATCCAAGACTTTAAAAAGTTCAAAGAAAAAGAGACAAATTTATTATACATGTCACAAAGAAGATCAAAACTGGTTCCTATCTAAGATCTAATAGGGAATAAAACTCTGGAAATTTAATTGAAACCTGCAAGCTGCTGTTGCAAAGGGCCAGAGCTTAAAAACATTGACTTGTATTTATTTACAGTATTTATACCCCACCCTTCTGACCCCAAAGGGGACTCAGAGTGGCTTACAGAGCACACATATGGCAAACATTCAATGCTGATTATACAGTTAACAAGGACAACACAAACAGAGGTAAAGGCAGTTTTTCCCATCTTATTTCCGGCATCTTGGAGGCTGTGCTTGACTCCAGCCACGGAAGGGTGCTGTCGCTCCATCTTGCATGCTGAGAAGCTTTCCCCCATCAATGTCCTTAAGGGCAGCTTTATTAACACCCCACCAAAAGCAGTACCTATTTATCAACTCGCATTTCAGCTTTTGACCTGCTAGTTGGGCATGTGAACTGAGGCTAACAGCGGGTGCTCACCCTGACCCGGGCTCAAACTGCCATCCTTCAATCGGCAGGATTTTTCTGCAGTACAGAGGTTTAACCTGCTGTGTTAATTCCCAAAATCCCCTTCACCCATTTGGGTCTCTGAGTGCTGCAGTCCAAGCTCTGACAAAGGGAACTATTCTAGTCTATGTTATTAGTGTCTTGTAATAACAAAATAATGCCTATGGACTGAAGGGATTTGGAAAAGAGGATGCTGATGGGAGAAGGGCAAGACTCATAAACAGAAACTTGGAGACATAAAAAATGATCATCACTGCAGATCACATCAACTTTTAAAAAAATAGAAGACAGTGTATCCTGTTTTAACCTGCTTAAATTACTCCTGAAATATTCCGACTGACTTCACTATCAACCTACAGAGCTGCCTAACTTTGTTTGCTGAAAGCTACACATATATTGAAAGGCAACTCTGGTAACTTTAATAAGGGCTAGAGAGACACTTGCAGAACTATCTGCCAATCATCTCTTCTTAATAATACAGTTTGGTGGTGTTATGAGATGCCGCCAGTACATTTATTTATGCTTACATAGCCACAATTGTATCCCAGAGCAAATTGATACAAAAACCAATAATAAAGATAGATGTACTGGTCCATGGGGGGAGGAAAACACAAGATTCTGCAATTGAACAAAAACTTCATTAGGACCATCCAAAGTGTGTGGGGATTGTGAAGGCTTTTCGTTTCTCCCGAAATCATTATCAGAGTACTGACCGTATGAGCTGCTTCACATGGGGATATGTTGCCTCGGAGTGTGGTGGAGCCTCCTCCTTCTGAGACCTGTAAACAAAGACAGTATTTAATACAGTTTTCAGATCAGACATGGGCAAACTTTGGCCCTCTGGGTTGAATTTGGCATCTTTCTCTATGGAATATTGTTTTGTTAGTTTTGACCCAGTTTTCAATTTCCTGTTCAACTTTACTGTGTGAACACATTGGCTTTTTCAGATGTTCTCCATTTTTCTTCTTCCATTTAATTGTTTGTAATTGGACTTTTAGCAGGTCTGTAATGAAATCCCGCCCTTTCTGGGTGCTTTTTTTTTTTTTTACAGTGGCTCCCATTCTTTCTCTCAGCTTCTCATGTAAAATTCCCATCCTTGTACTTAGAACTTGGTTTTGGACAGATGCATAACCTATCATATCCAGTCTCCCAAGTTTGAAGCCTTCTTGATCAGATATACCATGCTTTTTCAAGACACACTTCCTCATCTTTGTGAGGTATGGCTCATCTGAAGTCAATACTTTGTGGAAGAAGTGAAGAATATCATTCCAGAAGCAAAATCTCTCAATACCATCTACATAGCCAGTCAGTCACCTGCAATAGCTCCATGCCCCTGTGTGTTCCTCTGTATTTCACTTGTAGGTTTGGTGAGCATACCTCCTGTGTCTCTAGACTCTTTACTTTCCTGCCCAGGAATTCATAATCCAAAGTGATCCATTCAAAGATTTCTTTGCAGTGTCATTTATGCCTACATAAATCAGAAAAAAGGCACAATGTTCTATGTTCTTAGTGAGCCTTAACAACTTTAACATTCTGTGTACACACACCAGAGAGATGGCATGCTTCACAATCCATCTTGTCCAGTTGGCACACAGTTCCCTCTGTACCAATGAGCAATGAATCTGCTACCATTGGCACTTTCTTTTCTTTTTGCTGCAGTTGGTCACTAGGTTGGCTCCTGGTGTCTTTTTGGCATCTCTTCAGCCCTATTATTCTCAATAAGATGTAAGAAATGATTGCTTAGTTGGACAAGATTCCAACTCCATTGTACGTAGTCTGTTCCTGATGGTGACTGTTTTTCAAGATGTTTCTATTTCTTCTTGTCGGTTCTGCAAAATCAAATTTCCTTCTGTTCTATCCAGAGAATCCTCATGTTTTCTGTTGTGGTGAAAGAGTCTCAAAACATAGCTGTAGTGTGTTGACCTGCAACAAACTACAGGTCTTTGATGCTTCATCCTGTAGCTATTTATTTCCCCCTTTCAGACTACTGTAATAACTCTTACTTATAGGGTTTGCTTTAGGCAACGAATACTCAGAGATGGTTTGCCAGTTTCTTCCTCTGAAATATAATCTACAGCACCTGATATTCCTTGGTGGTCTTCCATCCAAGTGTTAACCAAAGCTAACTCTAGTGCCCCCTCCAGCCACTAGATCATACTCAAGATTGAAGTCCAGTGCATATATACATACATTGAGGATGAGGTAGTAGGCATGGCAAATACACAAAGTCCACAGCGCAGTTTACTACCAGCACCGAGCTATTTCTGCTGCTAGGAGAGAGATTGCCTGCTTGTGACATCTTGGGGGGGGGGGGGGGGGGTAGCCCAGGAGTAGTGCCAATTGGCATGCCAGGCCAGCCTCCCTGCAAACGTATGGTTAATTCTATTGACACATCATATGGACATTGGAGGCAGAACCTGCATAATTAAGGCATTGTCATTCTCAAGGAGTGCATGTAGCCTACATGCCTTTGTCAGCACTGCCACCATCACCATCAAGGGCTAGTCAACTGTCAGCCTGCATGTCCACAAATTAAACAGTGAAGCACCAAACTTAGCTTTTCTAAGGCTACTCAAAACTTCCACCTCAGCTTTAATCAGGAGCTTATTAACCCGTGGGAAAACCCATGAAGTGTAAGATAAAATTTCAGTAGTGTAGGAATATCCAAAGTGGAAACTAATACATAAACTAGTTTGTAGAAGGAAGCATAGAATGTTTTGCCATATCATTGGAAACTAACACAATGGCTCCTCTATTTTCAAAGTGATCTTTGATCTTAAGACGTCTCCTCAATCAAAATCAATTGAACTCAAGAGAATTGTTGACGTTTGTGGTGGTTGGCTGGCCTCTGCTGCCAAGATTCTTTTCCTCCTGTTCTGGCTATCCTAGGAGACATTATTTTGCTCCCACTTACTTCACCCATTCAAGCCAAGCCAAATTGAAAAGTGCATAATATAGAGTTTCTCAAGAACACTTTTATTTCCCCTAGTAAGTAAGGTGATAGGTGGAAGAAAACATTTTTGCTTAGATTTCTCTTTGGAAAGCTAGGAACACTTCTAGTCCCACGTCTGTTACTGGCTTCATAATCCGTTAACTACAAGTGTCAATAACATATGTACATATGATGACAGTCCATACTACACAATGATGATGTTTATTCATCCCCTTCAAGGAGCTTAAGTTGCATTCTAATTCATATTCACCTGTTAGACTTGCTTCTGAATAAATATGCATAACATTACATTGTAAAGTTTATAGACATATTTTCACCTAAAGAGCAAGAAGGCATAGCTTTTGTTAACCATGATTTGTGGCTTAAGCAGGGGTCTCACAGATTTTTCAATGCAGGAAGGAACAATTTTCCCCTTTGAGTCATAGACTGGTACTATATATGTGTTTATTGGCTACAATTGTTTCTTTCTGAAGTATTCACTGCAGACCAGCAGACCAATGATTGATGCTGGTCCACCACTAGTGTCAGCCACAATTTGCAAACCAAGCAACTAATAGGTCTTGCCTTGTCCTTTCTATTTGTACATTCAAGTTTCCATGAACATTTCCACAATTTCCATAGTTTGTGATTGGCTTATTCTAGCTTGCAAAGACCATGACTTGAGGTAACATCCAGGTTTGGATGTTACCTCAAGTCATGGTCTTTGCAAGCTAGAATAAGGCAATCACAAACTATGGAACTTCCTTCTTTACACAGAGAAGAGTATATAACTATTATTAAATGTAGCATTCAGCAGACCATAACCTAACAGTGGTATTTTAATAGAAAATAACTGTTTGCAGAAACATAGAAAATAACTGCATGCAGGCAGTCTAGGCCAGGGCTTCTTCAACTTTTTTATACTCACAATAACCCCTTACCTATGTTATATATCTATATACTCATGCAATGCTGGGTATATAAAATAGGTATAGAAATCAAACATTTGCTGAAAATAAATCAGCATTTACAAGGCTTACTAAACAGGCTGAAGTACAGCTGAAGCTATTTCTGCAGAATCCACTTAAACACACACTTCATTACTCACAGATTTTTGTAAGTGTCTTGATCACATTCATAAGCCTTTTACTGTTGCCAGATTTTTGTCACCCCAAAACATTGTGCTACTTTTTGTGACCTCAACAGTTTAAGTAGCGGGGGTTTAGGTCACTAGTATAGAGCTCACATGCCAAAACTGCATGATAGGATTTGAAAAGGCATGGGTTTGTTGAATCAATGCAAGTAACCTCACAAGCCACACAGCACCCACTCTCAACTGCACAGGAAGTTAGAATTGCAGCATCACAGCCGATGTCAATAAGTAGGGAAGGGATACATGAAACCCACACAAAACCCCTGTGTATTGGGATACTACTTCTTGCACCCCTAATTATATATGACACGAGAAGGTTGGGATCCTTCTATGCAGATGCATATTAATCCTGAAACCAAAATCTAAGAACAAAATGTAAATTCAAAAAATTCCCACACACTCATGTTATAGTTGAATGAGCATCCCCCCCCCCCTCTTTTTTTTTAGTATGAAGCCAAACAACGCATTTCGGCTGAGGCAGCCTTGAGGCACCCGTACTTCATGGCCCTGGGCGAACACGTGCACCTTCTTCCTGAGAGTAAGTGACTAATTGTAACATGACCACACAGGCCAGCCTCACTCTTCTGCCTTCTCTGAGGAATCTTGCTCCAGGACAAAGAAAGAATTTTCCCTTTCTTTCTAAGAAAGAAAGGGAATATGAGAAAAGCATGCAAATTTTCCTTGTTAGAATATGAGAAAAGCATGCAAATTTTCCTTGTTAGAAATACATGTATATTTTCTGGATTAGGAGTGTGCAACTGCACCAATATCCACCTCTGGCCAGTCCCCCAGGGATGGGGGTTAAACAAGGATACCATAGCACTCCATACCAACACATCACCATTTAGGGCAAAAAAGTTGTGAATTAGTGGAGAGTCAAAATGCCACATCTTCATGTAGTTTGGGGCAGCTTTCATGAAAATTTCCTGAAAATTTTGCCAGAAAGTGAAACAGATCATAGCCTCCAGGGAAACAGAGGGTGCAGAAGTGGGGTTCAAGGGCCAGTTGCAGTCCTGTGGTTTACTCACCTGATTGCTCCCTGGAGAAAGATAGATTCTCTGCATTTCAGGAAGATGCCTGTGAATTTGGCTTTCTGATTATGGATCCATCGCTCTTTCCAGACAAGAAACACTCCAAAAACTTTGTAGAGTTTTTCCATCTTTCCCTCTTAGATATATTTGATGATGATCAAAAAGTTCAAAGAAATAGGAGAGTTATAAATGAATCCTCTTGAAGCCTACTATTAAATCCTCATTGAAGCAAGACAATTGCTCAATAAAAACCTTCTCCAGGACATCCTGTGTCATGCAGAAGGTAGCAATGGGAGGGAGAGGACAAGATTTCATTACAAAGAAGTATGACCAGTCCAACAGTGTTTGTATTTATTGATCACAGTGTCCCCACAAACCATTTACTTTTTTGCAAGCACTTGCCACAAATGCCAAGCAGGAGCAGTTCTTCTGAATGAAGGGGGTAAAGTCTCTGCATTTCAGTGTATTTTTGGACATTTCTTTCTCCTTTTGGGAGAAATACAATTTAAATGATAGGAGGCAGAGCTCATAGCTTTGAAAGAGAAAACTATAATGTTGGGGGAAAGCAAAATCCAGATTGCAGGGGATGTTTCGCTTTTTAAAATAGCACAAAAAAGAGAAAGGAAAAGTTCTTGTTCACTTGAGCACCATCTAACATAAATATCATGCTAATGCTACTGAACATATTTGGGAGTAGTAACATACATAGTATATGGGAGAAATGCAGCCATGAAATTATACTTTACTTACAGGTTCCTCCTTTATATTGTTTTCATTCTTGGTCCTGTTTTCCTTCTCTCCATCTCCTCACCTCCTTTCCATCAGCTGCCTCCATCTTTTCTCTAAAGGAAATACAGCTTCAAAAGGATCCAGGTTACAGAGGTTCAAACTTCCAGCACTCAGGTAGGTACCAGTTTCCTTATAGGCCAATGCAATTGAAGAAAATGGATTGCTTTCTGTGGTTTTTGTAATACTATGTTATAAGTCCACAAAGACCATAACAGGCATGTCATGAAATGAAGTTGTGGATTGCTGACATTCAGGTATGGTGTTATATGCAGAGCCAGTGTGGTGTAGTAGTTAGAGTGCTTGATCCAGGTTCAAATTGACATTGACCCATGAAACACATGGAGACTGGAGCCAGTCTCTTTTAATCAGGCTGACTGGTCACCCAAGCTTGTTGTGAGGGTAAATTAGGAGGAAGATGGTCACATATATCACATTGAATTCATTGGAGGCAAGACAGAATATAAATGGATATATATAAACCAATATATAAAAGATTAAATATTCAGTACAACATGAAGCAATCTCACAGTTGCCTAGCGAATTAACTCATACATCGGTGGACTGGCAGAAACAGAATCAAAGTAATTCTGAGAATCCAACAGGGCTAATCCTCCTTCTGAGTCCCTTTGGGAGATAGGGCCGTATATAAATATGTTGTTGCTGTTGTTACCTATACCCTTAACTACTTCTGTTTGCTTCTTAAAAATAACCATGCTTCTTTATCCATGTCAGGCCCATGTACAACTCTTGTGTTGTTGCTGTCCGTATCATCACCAATTAGCAACACTTTTCTGCAGGGTCCACAATTCTAAATTGCACAACAAGCCTTTCTCATCTGAATGTAACCTAAATTTTGAGTGACAGTATTGATCTACAAGCTTAACTCAGGCTCCTGAGCGATATTGACTAGTCATCTTGTTTAAAATTATGTTTGAATTACTGGGGGGATGTTTTTAATGGAGAATTCTCTTGTATTGGACTTTAGTGCATGGAGCAGTACAACTTTGTTGACTTTAGGTCACAAACTTTAGTATAGTCAGCATGTCCAGAGTTCGTCTCTGATTACTCTCTGTTTTAAATCAGTACGAATGGTTTAGAGGTTGGAAAAAAAGGTCAACCATCTTCTTCCCTGAATTACTCAAGCGTATATCCTCATTGAGCATCCTGCCATCAGTTTAAAGCCTGCTCTTGAGCTTCTGCAAAAACAAAGTAATTCCACAATTTAGCCAGAGAAAGCCAGGTCTCAAATTTTACAAACACATTATGAAAATATGTTTATCCTATGATTTGATTCTCCTTTTTTACAGAGGCAGTTGGCTTTCTTGTGTCAAAAAGGGGTCTGTTAGTGAGCAATACAATAGAATTTTCTTGTATCAAAAAGGGAAATGTTAGTGAGTGATACAAAAGCCACAAGAGAGCGTTAGCATCAAGTGTCAGTGCAAAGAAGAATCCATCTATTCAATCACTGAAGTATTTAAGGTCTTGGTGTGTGTCGCACTGTACAATACAGTAGACATCACTGCCAGCATCCCCAGGATTTTCATGATTCATCAAAACTTTTGTAGCCCTCTTAACAATAGTAAAAAAGGTGAGATTTGACCTCTGTCTTAATTGACTAAAAACTGGCTAGCTGGATAGTTTTAGCTATCCTATCTTATATTGAAAAGGCTATTGTTCCCAAAGTCGGCTACTGCCCCTAATACCTAAATCCAGAGTTGGCCAGTTTTCAGTCATCACACAAAGGCCAACTCAGAAAACTGTGGCCTAAATTCACAATGATTTCAATGGGCAATTAGTCTGAAGCATCTGTTTTGCCTTGTAGAATATACTCCTATAAGCCATGTAGTCTGAGATAAAAGAAGAAATGATGTTGTGGGTTAACCTTTAACAGTGCCCAGTACCTTGATCACTTCCTCTCCCCTTAATGTGGAAAACTGTGATTAAGAAGGCCATCTGTGGGAACCTCAATTTCACACCCCTGTGATTATTTGTCATCTGTGATTCTGAGCAAGGATGTTTTTAGATGCCATTGTGCAAAAAATAGCTAATTATGCTGGACTAGACGTCCCGGTGCAGAGACTCAGTAGACATGTTCCTGTAAAGCCAACTTTTTTGCTGTAATTGCTGGTAATGGCAAAGATCCGGCAAATTACAGTTCAGTCACCCATCATTTGAGCTGCATTATGATGTGATGTGTATGAGGCTATGGTGGGATATAACCCATTGAGTGGACTACAGACATATCAGAGAAATTGGTTCAATGATTTAGAGATATGAGGTTACCTTATTTCCTTATTCCTTGGATAACTATATTGTAAGTTGTTGGAAATGTCTTCTTTGAAACAGATTTTGGTACATAATTTCCAGGCTTTTCAAAACAACTTTTCCTAACATTTCTCCTTTTTTTCATCCCCAGCTCGAGGAAAGAACAGGAGGCAAAGCATATTTTAAACCCATTTACTCATTCAGTGCATTGTTGGGGACATCAAAAGCACTGAGAGGGAGAGGACCTTATAGATCCCATCAAGCTCATCCTCAGAATGATGATGGCTGGTACGCACAGTACAGGATCTGCTTTGCAGTCCCACTATCTTTCATGAGCCCAAATAAAAAATGACCTGCTGCTTGGTTTGGGCTCCCATTCTTCATACAGTAATTGCTGGGCAACAATCTTCATCAAGCAATCATCTACCAGGCGTGTGGTCCTATAACATGGACATGTGCGATCCACTGCTTTTGAGGGAAGCAAAATGGCGGCAACAAGCAAGGATTTCACTGCAGAATCAACACCTTCTTTGCTTCTTAGATGTCATGCCATGACAGATGTGTTTGTTTTCCCCATCATGTGATGACTCCTAGGACAACATGCAGACAAGATGGGTAGGATACTAACAGAAGGAAACCTCTTTGAGCCACTCATATGCTGGGTTTTCTACTTTTAAACTGTTCTTCGAAAATGAATTTTATTTCTGAAGGTAATAAACATTTAGGGTAGTGAATAGAGTGGGGAGGCCATTTGCTGAATTTTCTTGGCATTCTCATTCCAGTGTTTGTTTTCTGAACTCAAGCTGCTATAAAGGAAATCCAGAATTTGTCTTTCTCGCAGGTGGGTTTCAGATTGTAGGCCATGAGCAGCATCATGTATTTATCAGATTCATACTCAGAATGTCTGTTTAATTCAATCCAAGAGTTATTCAACAAAAACTAAATAAATTGATGCACTTTCTCTGAAAAAGCTGACATCCAAGTAACTCAAGAACTCCAGAAACTGTCTGATTCTTTATTGAAACCCTACCACAAAAATGTGAATGAAAACAAGCCTTTCTTTCACCTGAAATTCCAATAATGTACCTGTCCATTCGTTTTTTCCAATAGCATTAGAGAAATAATATTCAGAAACCTCTGGATGTGCATGCACTCACTCATTATCCTCATTCATTCTCTCTCTCCCTTCCCCCCATCTTTCACACAGAGTAATCCTATTCATGTTTATTCAGAAGTAAGCACTATTATGTCAATAGGACTTGCCCTCAAGTAAATGTGCCTAGGACTTTAAACCAATGAAATCTATAAAACTTAAGTGAGATCTTATGCTTACAGAAAAACAGTGTTCAAACATTGGGTTGGAAAGTTGGTCGATAACAAACCTAATGTGTATACTTTTATAAAAAATTGTTAATTGGACTCAGTAAAACAAGTTCTTAATAATCAGAGGAAGCTAGTTCTCAAACTCATGTTTGGATATATGTATATGTATGTGTGTTGCAAAGAAGATTTTACCTCACTTTCTGTCCCTATGAGATTTGGATTTTGAAAAATTTGGCTTGTTGCGGAAACAAGGATTGGTGATAAAGCTTCAGTGGAGACCTTTTTCCCAAGATAACTTTCAATAGTGAATTTCCCTTCATGGGGGTAGATTTCCCTCACTTCCTGTTGTCTCACTCCTGTTTGTAACTGAGTCATTTGTAAATCAGATGTTTGTAACTTGGGACTTCCTGTATGTGTGTGTGTGTGTGCGTGTATGAGATAAAATGAATATGACTGGACCGGAATTTCTGCCACTTTTCTTTCAGTTCTATTGGTTTGTTTTTATTCTACTAGTCAACTAACCACAAGACAAAAGTGTTGAGTGTTTCAACCAGAACAGTCATATCAAGAAATTGTGCAGTCATTCCATTTTTTTTCCTTCTTAACATATTTTGTGCAGTGTGAAAAAGATGGCAGAGGCAGTTGGAAAACATGGGGAAATTACACTTGGGAGGCAATAATATTAGGATTCTGCATAAAACTTTATGAATGAAGCAAGACTCCCCATGGAAGCACAGTACAGAATAAGTAACACTTTCTTGGATGAGATCAGTTTGTATGCCCTGATTAAGTCACTCATTCTGTACAGCCTCCAGAAAAAACATGGCCTGTCAGTACCTCAGTTTTGACAGGTGTGGAGACTTAAATGGGGAGACTTAAATGAGTGGGATTTCTTCTACTGGCACAATAATCATACAATCATCCAAGCAGTATGCCAAGTGCATGGGACTTTAGCTAGCAGATTCCAAAACTAGTACTAAATTATTTCTCTATTCATGAACTTTAGGCCAAATAGGCTTTGAGGGCTGGGAAATGGGGGCACACTGACATTTAAATTAAAAATTGCATTGCCTGGATGAACAGAACCCCACTCTTTGATTAAACAGGAAGCTCACAACTGAGAAAGTTTAAGCCTACATAGTGCATAAATTTCTTCACTAAGGCACCAGTTCTGCGCATCGACAGATGGACCACATCAATCATGTATGAGCAAGCCTTTAAAATAGTCTTAAAACATGCTCTCAATGAGTTGGTTAGGTAATTCAAGACAACTTATGAAATTCATCTCCTTTCATGCTCCATTTTGGCCTTTCTTGCCCCCTTAACCTTTTTAAATTTCAGTGCTTTGAGGGCAGGAGCAACTACAATTACTAAGGGAGAGATTGCCTTTTCAATGCAGATAGAATAAAGCAATCACATCTGGGATTAGACTAGTGGTTATGAACCTTTTTTGTGGCTCATATTGAGAATCCTTAGAGATCCCATTAATGATCTGAAGCAAGCTATGGACCCCTTCCCAATAGACGGACTTAAAACCCTCATTTTCTAAGTAATAAGAAGGAAATTTAAGGGACAAAATTATTCAGGTTTTTCCCCCTGGTTCATACACTCTTGATTCTCATCTATGGATCACATAGGAACTAAAAAAAAAGAAACCCTACCTAGCATTCTTGTGTTATCCTTTGGACCCACAACCTGGAATCCTTTAAAATCCCATTCGCTGTCCATGTCTTTGCTGTCCACATTGCACAATCCCTCCTATTATTTTATGTGGGAAGTTTTACCCTAGATTTTTTTTCTTGGTTCCTTCTGTCTTCAACACCATGTCAATACCCATTGTTTACAATCTATTTGCTTTCCAGTCCACTATCTTAGTCCCATGTCTTTTTTCCATTCTGTCTTTGACCAAGATGCCAGCACGCCACACAATAGAGCAAAGAGCCATTCCAGTAGTGAGCACTTTGAAATTTCTTCACTCACCTGAAACACATTGTTTTCCTCTCTTTTCATGAAGCTTTCATGTCTCCTTCCTTTGTACTCTTCTCCCACACTCAATTGATGATTTTCCCTTACCAACTTTGCCTCTGAATCCTTTGTCACTCGTCAGATTGGGCTTGACTTTGCCCCACAAAACTGTTCCTAAACAAAACCATAATTTCAACTGATACCAGATTTGTGTCATCCAGGGCCTGCCATTTTGAAAGAAATCGGTTCACTCCAAAATGAATATTTGACCTTTTAATACTCACGGGATACTATTCAGGCATACAAAAATATGTTGATAATCTTCTTGGATGACAGTTATGAGAAATACATGTCATAAGGGTAGGAGGAAAAATCCTACATCTTCTGTACAATGAAGTTTCAGAAGGAAAAACTGGAGAAGAAATGAAAGCACATTCCCCCTTCCTTGCCATTTTCCACAGACATCACGTGCAGAACTACATAAAAATAGGTCACTCCAATTTACAAGTTGCTTCTGGCCCCAAATCTGTACTCTGTAGCACAGATGTGAGCCCCCAACCTTTCTGTGAAGCTATGACAGCCCTTTCCCATTACAGTTTTGCTGATAGAGATCAACTGGACTATGAGTAAAAAGCAGCTGTTTTAGAGTGAATAACATGCCAAGACAACAGCAATGTTGCTTTGGATCAGTGAGGCAGAACAAAGGCTTCCCCAGCAAGCCCAGCAGTTTCTGGATCTGTGATAGGCAAGAAATAAAAAGAGCACAACACAATATTAAAATCCTTTCCAAAAAGATAATAGGGGTTTTTTAAATGTCCACTTCCCCTGTGGAAGGACAACTGCCTAGGAGCTGTACTTTCTGAATAAAACTGGAAATAAATAAACTTAGTGTAGGTTTACCACCTTTTCTAATTTAAGCAGGGCTGTATGGTTTTTCTGAGGCTATTATAATTATTCAGCATTTTTTTTCATGTCAGGAGCGACTTGAGAAACCACAAGTGTGTGAAGGAATTGGCTGTCTGCAAGGACATTGTCCAGGGAATGCCTGGATGTTTTGATGTTTTACCATCCTTGTGGGAGGCTTCTCTCATGTCCTTACATCGGGAGCTGGAGCTGACAGAAGGGAGCTCATCCGCACTTTCCCCTGATTCGAACCTCTGACCTATCAGTCTTCAGTCCTGCTGGCACAAGGGATTAACCCATTGTGCCTCCAGGGGCTCCATTTTTCAGCATAAAACACAATTACAACACATTAAAACTGAACCATATATTGAAAGTCAACACAAGTGGTTCTCAACCTGTAGGTCCACAGGTGTTTTGGCCAACAACTCCCAGAAATCCCAGCCAGTTTGCCAGCTGTAGGGTTTCTGGGAGTTGAAGGCCAAAACATCTGGGGACCCACAGGCTCAGAACTACCGGAACACCAATGAACTTGCTGATAAGTAGTTATGGATATTAGAGGAGGAAAAGAGTTTTTGCTGTATTTTTAATACTGCATTTAACTGGCTATAGTGATTCCATTGACAGTGCTATTCAAGAGTTAACAGTTCATGTGTTTATTTGATCCTTAGGATGAACGACCCTCACATGATTTCAACAAGGCATTTAAACCTGTGCTAATGCACAGCGACTAGGTTGTTTTATGGAAATCAATACATCCTAAGAGTTAATGTCGTAGCCTAAGTACTTTGGTGGTTTGGTATAATCGAATTTCATTGGAGGATTAAATGCAGCAGTAATTCTTTCTTTATTTCTTCCAAACATTTTGCCTTACTGAGAAGCTATGAAAGCATTGTAAGGATAGTGCTTATTCTCGGACTTCTAATTTTAAATGTCTAACAGAAGAGGAAAGGGGAGTGGAGAACAGGGAGGGAGAAAGCAAGTGCAGGTATCAGTTTCTACATTACAGCTAGGTTGGAAACAAGGTGAATAATACAGGGTATTACACAATTATAGTATTCCAATTGCACATGAAATGGCATAGCTTCATCCAATGAAATCCTGCGGTTTGTAGGTTGGAAAGGCGCAAGAGGAGCTGTCTGACTGATCCTTTCTAAACTGCAACTTCCAGGATTCTATAAGATGGAGCCATGGCAGTTAGAAGTAGAATCATAGCCCTATAATAGTGATTGTGAAAGGGTCTCTTGTCTCTCTGTTAATAAATAATAATAATAATAATAAACTTTATTTATACCTCGCCACCATCTCCCTGAAGGGACTCGGGTGGCCAGGCATGTAGCCGGGGGGGGGGGGGGGGGGGGGGGGGGGGGGCGCATGAGGCCAAGCCCAAGAATTACAATAAGGCAAAATAAAATACATACAATAAACAATAACATCAAATAAAATACTAAATAATAACAAAGTAATACAATAAAATAATAACAATAACATAATAACAAAGCTATAAAATGATAAAGGGATTAAACAAAGCGAGCTGGGCCAAATGCAAAGGATAAACTTATAAAACCCCTGGGTGAGATAGAGAAATAAAATGGTGTGTCTAGTGGAAGACTCGGGTGGGATAAACAATAGAGTTAATCTTCACTGAGGGATGAGATAAAGTGCATCAGTAGGACAATTTTTACTGGGACAGGCATGGTATGGGGATTTGTTATTCATTCCTCACAAGAACACCGGAAAAGCCAAGTTTTTAAACTTTTTCCTGAAGGCTGCTAGGGTGGGAGCTTGCCTAATCCCCCTGGGGAG